ATATGCTAAAATGATATTCTTGCAGTGAGGGTGCTCTCAATATTTTACTTGAAACATAGTTTCAGGTAATACTCTAGCTTCTCATGGAAGACTAATGCTAACAAAAAGCACACTTTCTGATTCATGTATTGTTATTCACAAAACAAATGAGTTTGGCAAATGGAAGCATTAGTGTTAAATGGTCACAGAAACCAATAAAATGTAAAGCTCAAATCATTGTAACACCCACACAGCTGGAATGAATTCATGCAGAAAGTCTAGCAAAGCTCAAAAGAGGAAACTATACATTTCCTCATGTTTAAAAATACATGCTTGTTTTTCTTTTTTGAACATATTTTCTGTGTGATTCATCACAATATGTTATCTGGTTTGGAAAGACAGACATACCTCAGAAAAGGGAACAGCCGGTCTCTCTGCATGACATGTGCCAGGGGTGGCCAACCTGTAGCTCTGGAGCCATATTGTTATGCTCATACAAAGCACACAGGATCTTTATAGAGAAAGGCAAATACGAAGCATTTATTGAAAATACAACAGTTAGCATATGCTTTTCAGTCTCACACACATCCACACCCACACACACAGTCCTGCCAGTGGTGTTCATAGTTACCAGTCTGTTGTAGCTCGAGTCAATCTAATGGCAGTTAGATTGAGTACGAGTGTGGAGCTGGGCTCTTGTTGGTCGCAATCCGATGTTCTGAGGCTTTGCAGACTGAACCCGGAGTTCCATGGCAAAACGCCCCAGCTTTATAGTTGTAAATTCCCCTTTGAGTCCATCCATTTTGCAATATCATCCTGTAATCATTAGTCCTTAAGTGGTGTTATCATTTGATGGTTATTATCGGGCTTCCCATCGTTATCTCCTATTTGTTGTCTCGCCTTCGGGTGTCACCTCTGAGGTCGTAAATGCTGCTAACATGTTTAGCATTGGATACAATGGATGTTTTCTGATTGTCTCCTGGTCTTTCCAAGTCTCTCACTTCTTCTTGTCCATCTGGACATTCGTGGTGGCTTTCACACCTTATCTTTTCCTGATGCATGCATTCCTCATTCACACAAACAATCTCTTACAGATACCTTCAAAGGTATACAGACAGCAGTATTGTATATTTAGCAGAATACATTGTAAATCAAATCTTGCTAAAACTTATAACTAAAACAATTCACATTGGGGCTTCAGGCCCTCAACATTCCTCTAATCTCCTTAACATAGATACAATACAAGATCTTGTCTCTTACTTACTAAAACCTTAAAACAAAGAAATGTATATTTAACTAGAGTGCCTAATTTGTAATACATATAGGAAACCATAGTAGACATTATAACTTATCCTAAAACAAAAAGGTGACCATAATCAGTCATAAAGATCGTTCTGGTCTGTCATTTCTTTCTGCTATTCGAAAAGGGTGGCTGACAGAATGAAATCAAATCATACATTAATTCTTATGGGACATTATAAAATCCTGCTCCTACAATATGCGGCCTTGAGAAGTTAGTATGTGGCTCCTTGTATAGGCACCAACTCCGGGGATGGAGCTGCAGGCACCAACTTTCCAATGTGCCAGGGGGTGCTCACTGCTCAACCCCTGGCTCTGCCACAGGCCCTGCCCCCACTCCACCCCCCTCCCCTGAGCCTGCTATGCCTTCGCTCCTCCCCCTGAGCTTCCTGCATGCCATGAAACAGCTGATGGGGAGGGAGGAGGAGGGCGCTGATCGGCGGGGCTGCTGGTGGGTGGGAGGCACTGGGAGCAGGGGGAGTTGATGGGGGACTGCTGACATATTATTGTGGCTCTTTGGCAATGTACATTGGTAAATTCTGGCTCCTGCTCAGGCTGGGCACCTCTGGCATATGCTGTTCGTACTCATGTGACTAATTACTACAACTATAGCACTGGCCCTCTATTTCTCATTGTGCAAGAGATCGATCACTCAAGAGATTTCCTTGGCTAGTTGGGGAGGAGAGATTTGAATGGCTGTAGAAAGAAAGAACCTCACAACATTAATGGGGCTTCAACATGGATCATGGCTTAAAGTCAAGAGTTTACATAGGAGGAAAATATCCCCTCTACTCTTTGCTGACCAGTAAGACGATTTCTTCCTTCTCCATCTCTCTCCAGAGTGCAAGTTCAGTACTCTTGGGTGTGTGTTTCTCTCCTCCTCTTTGAAAGAAGATTCTAATAGTGGCTTTTCTCCTCTTTCTGTTAGGGAATCTGGAGATTTCCATACCACTGGCTCAGTTTTCATAGTTCTCCCCCATTTTCCATGAGTGGCTGGGGAGTACACATGTGATTGGTGCACCACTATGTTGAGCTCAGTCCCTGTAGAACAGTATCACCACCACAGTAAGGCTGATTAAGTAATGCATGTAGTCCCATTTTGCATGCACAGGAATAGAGGCAACAGCTTACAGTGAAGATTGGTACAAATTCCCCACTCTAGAACATAGGTAGCGGAACCTCACTGTACTGAGTTTTAGGTTTAACATTTGGTTATAATTTTTTGATTTGATTTACTTGCATCATGTCACATGCTTTACATAGGATAATAAGGGATATTGTAAATAAGCTTTTTGTAAAATGAGTCCTGGTGACTATAAATTGACATCAGCATCCCACAATATACAAGCACTTAACTTGAGTAGAAGTCTAGGTATTTTACAGTGAGAATTTGTTACACGTTAATAGACAGTATTTTAAATTTGCAATATAAAACTAAGTGGAGAAAAATATTAACTTTTTATCTACTTCATCAATATTTTAATTAAGTATTTTATTAACAAGCTAATTACATAATGGTTGGAGGGGGGCGTTAAATAAAGTTTATTTCTATCTTTAGGAGTGCACAGTTGTACCTAAAGCCACAACACTTCTGTTTTAGCACTTGTATGACAGAATCCAAACTAATTTTCTCATCCATATTTAATTAGGGAGGGAAAAGAGCATATATACATCTGGGCTGAGATTTTGTAAATCCAATTACACCTGAGAGTGAATTTCTATAGCCATTGATGGGAAATCACTGATAAGGTTTTTGAATTTAGCTACATTTGAAGGCATATTTACAGGTTTTATCATTTGGACCATTTTTATATGTTTGATATTTATTCAACCACCAGAAGATCCTATAAAATTTTAATGACAAAAATCGTTGATCTGTGTAGATAGGCCAACAACTATGCATTTGTCTTCACTGCCACCACAGGGGGCAGTCCAGTATTTGATCTTTACTGCACAAACAGACATGTAATAAATGCAAGTATTAAATAACTTGGCTTCCCTTATGTTGAAGGATTTTGCCACTCAACAGATATATCAGCTGTGTGATCAACATGTGAAACATGGGAGAAGGCATATTACACCTCTACCCAGATATAACGCTGTCCTCGGGAGCTAAAAAATCTTACCACATTATAGGTGAAACCGCGTTATATCGAACTTGCTTTGATTCGCCGGAGTGCGCAGCCCCCCCTCCCTGGAGCACTGCTTTACCATGTTATATCCAAATTTGTGTTATATCGGGTCGCGTTATATCGGGGCAGATGTGTAATTAGCTTATTTAAATATGTACTTCAAAACAGGTTCTATTCCTTTAACCCTCAGATTTCCCTAATACAAATTATAATGAGTAAAGATACGATTTTGTCACAGATTCCATGACTTTCATGGACCTCCATGTCTGTTGGCTGGAGCTGCTGCCCGGGGTAAGGTTGGAGCTTTGCCTGTTAGTCCCCCCCACATTTTTAGTAAAAGTCATGGACAGGTCGCAGGCTTCTGTGAATTTCTGTTTATTGCCCATGTCCTGTCCATGGTTTTTACTAACAATACCAATGACAAAAATCAACCTTAATATTGAGCCAACTAGATTTTCAACAGCTGGAACGGTCAAAGATTTCTGAAGTGCAGGAGAAGGGATTTACCTGTTACAATAGTACTAGATGCAGGAGCGCCGCCAGTTTTTCTGCTGCCCTAGGCGGCAGAAGGTCCTGCCCCGAAAATGCCGTCCCCCCAGAGGTGGCAGAAGGTCCTGCCGCCAAAATACCGCTGTGGTCGCCACCCCCCAAATTGTAGTGCCCTAGGCAACCGCCTAGGTCGCCTAATGGGTTGTGTCGGCCCTGACTAGATGTATAGGATTGGGGAAACCTAGCTCTTTAAGGAGGTGTGAATCAGGATAGAGGGTGTGTCTATATTACGAAGACTGCACCCGCATAGCTATGCTGGCAGAGGTTTTTCTGTCAGTGTAGGAACACCACCTCCTTAAACAAACATTAGCTACATTGACAAAAAGCAACCCCTGGGGCTATGGTAGCAGAGCTTTGTCAGTTATGAGTCACTCACTTGCAGTTCTACTTCACCAATGCAAAAGATATGTAAAAAATGAGAGATACAAAGTAAAAAAGGTAATTTACAAATTAACATCTTGGAGATGCTGGTGGTAGGCAAAGGAAGGTTGGAGGGAATTCTTCATGCTTACCGCCTCCACTCTGGCGATTACCCTATAGAGAACACATTTATATTATTTACTAGCATTTAGGTGACCCTTTGGCAGGTGGGATAGATTTATGTGCCCATTGGCAAACAAGAGGCAACATCTTCAGTAGGTGTTCGATGATATACTCAATATGTTCAACTTAAGCCAAATGAAAAAACCAAGAGACCTGGGCTCAGTTCTTGGCTCCACATCTCGTGATCCTTAGGCCTGTTGGGTACAAGAACACTATCAAAGGTAATGTGCTCAGCTTCTGGAGGCAACAGTCCCTCTGGCTAATTTTGGAGCTCAGTTAATAGGCTCTATTGCAGCCCTCCTCATTGGAGAGCAGAAAGGTGATTGTAGATGGAATGGAATACACAAATTGGGAAGATCAGGGTTTTGCATAGTATCTGAATGAAAAAAAAAAGGGTCTCTCCCCCCGCAAAAAAGTTGAATACATTCAAAATCAGGACATTTATTTTAAAGCATTCTTGTGCTTAGTTTTTCCATGCACACAAAAAATGAGATAATATCGAAGTCTCATTTTTTATTTTGTGGCATTTATTCAGAAAGTACAGCCGTGACATTTAAAAATAGTTAAATTTGAAAAAATTGGCACATCATCTGAGTAGGTTTTATTAGCAGCTTAATTACTATAGCTATATAATTTCTAGGAAAATACCATGTTAATTTTAAAAGATAAAAGACAGTATGAAATTTTGCTACTTGTACTACTTTATCATACAATACAGAGAAAATCTGTTAGTCATCACTAAAGGCAATAGTATTTTATAAATAAGTATCCATTTTAATTACAGCTTAAATAATTTTCTCATCAATTCTAATGAAAAGTAGTATACAAAACCCCAACCTTTCGGTCACATAGTACAATCTTCCTGAGATCTTATATCCACATTTTTTTTTTTTAAACAAAATATTTACTGTGAGGTCCGTGATCTCCAAGATATAAAACTAAAATAGGCATTTCCTGCATAGCAGAAGGTAACCACAAAGGCGAAGAACTATAGAGAGAGGGAAAAGAAAAAACAAACATTAGAAAAAAATAGTATCTTTTTAGAGCATTTTAATTTTATGAAAAGGATTTGATAGAAGAGAAATAGTTACATTAATAAAAATGGTGCTCATTTAGGATCTGATCCTGCCAACTTAACTCACAAAGAGAAGCAACTTATTTTATTATTCCAATAGGACCATATTGATGGAGGGAGGCACTACTCAAAGTGAATATGGTGACAGAGTCAGACCATTACTGTAAATACAGTACCTAACCTTTGCAAGCTTTTACTGTTCTTGTCCCAATTTCTTATATTACATACTTCTTCCCCCTTCTCCTTTAAACTTTTTATGTATTACTCGAATAGCTGCAATCAGCTATTCTATATATTTTAATACCACCCAGTGCCAATGGTAAGGCTTCTGTTATCACTGAAAATTATTTAAAATAGACAGCTTATGTTAAGTAATTATGAAAATTTAGGACCAACCAGGGTTAACAGGTACAATGTATTTGGTTCTATATGTTGTCATGGGCCTGATTCGGTCACCTTTACTACTAGAGCAAAGTACCACTGAACATGTATAAGGGTAGAAGAATTAGGGCTCAGATTAGACACCTGTATAATGATGCTAAAGAGTACATAACATCTGTTGGTGAGCTTTGTTTAATCAGAAGCACCAAATTGTAGGAATTGGTGTAAAATATGGTTAATATATAACACCATGAGAATGTTGTTGCATTCTTAGTTTTGGGAAGTTTTGAGTCTTTCCTGAACTGCTCATGAACAAAAACCTGAATGCTTTCTTTTAGTTAAGAGAACATGTTGGGTGGAGAGGATTTTGTTACTACTGAATTCTTTAAAATCTCTTTTTAGGAATAAGCAGGGGATGGAGGAACATTTAACAAGCTCTCAGAGTAATAATCCAGGTTTAACAGTTAAACAGCATTATGTGCAAGTAGCACTAAAAAGCTATCAGAAGAGGTCCCAGGACATCTCAGATGATCTGACTGATCTGTGGAGCATTAATGCATTCTGCTTAAAGACCCGAATCAGCACAGAAACTTGTATAGCACCAAACAAAGTTCCTGCTAAAAGCAACACCCATTGAGTGACAGGCCTTTAGTTATGAGGTACCAAGAGGGAAATAAAACACTAAACACCAGGGAGGTTAGAGAGAAGAGGTCCTCCACATGGGTGGCGGGTGATGTTTCCCGTTGTGGAGCCTTGCCCCTGCCTAGTCTCTTCCAACTGCAGCCCCGCCTCTTCTGGCTGAAACCCCGCCCCTGCTCCCAGCCCCCCCCCATGGCCCTGGCGGGGGGGAGGGGTGAGAGGGAGGAGGGCTGAGACCTTGGTGAAGGCCACAGGTGAGGGCTGAGAGCTCTGTAGATTTACAAAACCTAAAACAGGATATTCCCATTTCAGCGCACACTTCTGAAAATTCCATTCTTGATGTAACATTGTTATACATAGAATATATTCGTTTAATTATTTTTTAAAAATAACTCACTGAAGAAGCTGCCCAGCTGTTGTAATTGTGGCCGTTCTGCTCATTGGTAACTGAAGATGCATTTACAATGGCAGCAATGAGGTACAAAATAAAGGCACTTCCATTAAAGCATAGACCCTAGGCCAGGACAGGGAAAAAAAAATTAAACAACATTTGATATTGAGTACATACTTCTACTTGCCATGTGCTACAACTACAGGGAAAAATTCTCCTCTCAGTTATATCTGAAAACCCTACTGAATTCAGGGGGGATGCACTGATGCAACTGTGAGGAGAAGTTGGCCTCTCGTGTGAACACCCCCACACCATGTAGCTGAAATACAATTCCCAATTATCCTCACTACTGCTGTAATTAAAATAACCCAACAGTGTTATAACTATAATGTAATCTTAATTGTTTCACTTTGTAACTCTGGATAGTAGTAAGAACACAGTCAAATTTTATGTACTTTAATACAACTATTGAGCCAAATTCTGCTTTCCTTTACATCAGTGGTTCCCAAACTTGTTCCGTCGCTTGTGCAGGGAAAGCCCCTGGCGGGCGGGCCGGTTTGTGTACCTGCTGCGTCTGCAGGTTCGGCCGATCGCGGCTCCCAGTGGTTGCGGTTCGCTGCTCCAGGACTATGGGAGCTGCTGGAAGTGGCAATCAGTACATCCCTGGGCCCACGCCGCTTCCAGCAGCTCCCATCGTCTTAGAGCAGCAAACCACGGCCACTGGGAGCCGCGATCGGCCGAACCTGCGGATGCGGCAGGTACACAAACCGGCCCGGCCCACCTGGGGCCTTCCCTGCACAAGTGGCGGAACAAGTTTGGGAACCACTGCTTTACATCATAATAAATCCAGAGTAACACCATTAAAGACAGTGCAGTCCGTGGATTTCCAACAGTGAAAATGAAGGCAGAATTAGGCTTTATTATATCAATATTTTAGGCAACAGAAATACAAATACCAATACACCAAAATAAATAAATAAATAAAAAGCCACTTGATTAAGTTTCTAAACATGAAGAAAGTTCTGCATATGAATTAACCACAGTCAGAATGCTTGCACAGTTTTATGCTCCTCCATTTTTGGGGAGGTCAGGTGGGGAAGGGAGTCACTCTTCCAAGATGAAGTCTCCCATCATGCAGTCTGGCCCCCTTTCCTGTGACAGAAGCAGGGGCGGCCCGTCCATGCAGGCAAACTAGGCGGTTGCCTAGGGTGCAAATTAAATAGGGTACCAAATTTGAGGGGTGGTGGTGGAAACAATTAAAAAAAATACAAATAAAATAACTAAGATGTCATTATTTCAATTCTTGTGTGCGACAGAGGGAATATGAATTATAATTCATTTCTCTACATTTCTGAGAATTTATTAATATGCCAAATCTTTTATTTACTGCAAAAATAAATAAGATTTTAGCAATTTTTTTTTTCAGTTTGCGATGGAGGGTCAAGATGACCCACTCCGCAATTTTGGTAAGCAATAACTCAGCCACAATTAAACACATCCGCCAGCGGCAAGATCTGCAATGCTAGTGACACCTAACTCGAATATACATCAAGGTCGCATAGCTGAAAATTCATGTGGAGCAGAGATATCACGAGTTGACACATGTTAAACAGTCATTTTAACACATGTCGCAGGTAGATGGTTAAGAATCGAGTGAATACTGTGGAAAATTGTGTTTTTTTGATGCCAAAGAATAACTTCTTTCAGCATTATAAATCGAAAATGTGAGTATCTTTAAGCGTTATTAAACCTTAGCGTTATTATCGGGCTATATAATTATGAATAATTTTCTTTGTTATAACTGGTTCACGTGTAATAAATAAGGTCCACAAAATAAAAGTAACAGCATTAATGCTTAATAGACTACGAAAGTGATGATGCCACACTTCAAGTGGGTAACCGTGAGGACGGGGATTACTTTCCAAACAACAGATGTCGGGTTATCATGTCGAAAAAGGTCATTTTGTTTCTGTGTAAATGCTGTAACTGTTTTAATAGGTGAATGTATGTTACTAATCATTGAATCTTTAAGCAGTGAAAAGATGTGTTAGGATGGCTGCAATGTGGTTTAAATCGCCAACTATGTGGTGGGTGTGTCAGCCATCCTTAACGCTATAATGCTTGCAGTTGGGAGCACAGTACATAACAATATTCAAATGCCCCATGGCAGAAAGAGGAAAAAGAAAACCCTCAGGAGCCGAGTATTGTAAATGAAAGGCCGAGAAGGAAAAGGACCGAGCAAAACAGCAGGGATCCTTCCTGAAATATCTTCTCTTTAATCCAAATAAAGATGGAAGCAGTTCACAGCATCCAGATGAAGGAATTTTACTTGGAGAGGAGGTTAGGTCACATCCATATGGAAGCAGTTTGGAACATCAAGATGAAGGTATATTACTTTGAGATGAGGGTAGCTCACATCCACAAAAAAGCAGTTTGGAAACTCAAGATGATGGAAACTTACTTCTAGATGAAGGCAGCTCACAGCATCAGACTGATATGGAAGTGGAGAAAATTTATTCACCTTCAGAGAGATACGCAGAAATTGAAGTAAATGAAGTAGAAGGAAGAAAGGATGAGGAAGCTACAAACAAGTTACAGTATGGGGACCCAGCTTCATGGCCCAGATCTGATGACAGTGTGCGGCAAATCCTCGTGGAACATTCCCCAAGGATGGAAATAAAAGAAAAATTCTCTGCTCAGTATTACAAGAGGAAACTCATTAATGGGGAAGAAATTCATCGAAACTGGTTACAATATTCAGTGTCAAAGGACTCTGTGTTTTGCTTTTGCTGCAAGTTGTTTAGAAATCAAGCAATTGGTACACATCACTTACTGAAAATGGTTTGAAGGACTGGAAAAACATATCTTCAATTCTCTCTTCACACGAAAGTAGTACAGAACATTTGGAATGTTTTCAAAATTGGAAAGAACTTGAACTACGATTGAAAATAGGAAAAACTATCGAAGAAAAATTACGTGTGATCAAAGAAAAAGAAGAATATTGGCAACAAATATTAGAGTGTCTGATTGCTTTAGTGAGAGTTCTCGGTGGGCAAAATTTAGCATTCCGTGGCCATGGTAGAAATGAAAAAAAATTATACACTCCAGGTAATGGAAAAACTTTTTAAAATTTGTTGAATATCTCGCTTTGTTTGATCCAGTCATGAAGGAGCATCTACGTAAAATAACTGATCATGAAACACAGGTTCATTACTTAGGATTTAACAGTTCATTCTGCATATTTTTTCCTAGCAAATGCCATTAAAAAGAAAAATTGTATTTTGCAGAATGGGCAGCTTCTACTTTTCAATAATACTGGACTGTACACCAGATGTGAGTCATGTTGAACAAATGACGATGATCATTTGTTTTGTGGATATGGAAAAGTCTGCAGATGAAGATAATGCTGAAGTGCTCATAAAGGAACATTTTTTGGGTTTCATACCACTAAAGGAGACGACTGGAGAATTTATGACAAACTATTCTACAAGAGCTTGAAACAATGTCATTATCTGTTGAAAACTTACGTGGCCAAGGCTATGATAATGG